CCGTGGTTAAAGAAGTTGTGGTTTTCTTGAGAGCTATTCTTAGCCTTTCTGAAATACAGATTCCTTATAGTGGACAGCTCTTTGTGAACAGGAGGCAAGCAGCTCAGCTGAGAGAGGCAAATTTTAAAACAATGGGCGTAAACGTGTTTCTCTTCTGTCTGCTTTCTTTAGCTTTCCGTTGAAAGGACCTTGGGGGTCTCGCATCTCTCCTTCCCTCTCACTTCTGCTCTGATACTTGCTTTCCGCACGGCAGGTCTTTACTGTTCCGAGAACTATACCATACAGATGGCTTTTACTATTTCTTTTTTCTTTTATCTTAACAGGATTTGAAAAATACTTTCCTAATGGGAAAAAAGCTAATGAAACAAAAGTATCAGAAGGAGAGACAAAAGGTACAAAGAAGCTTTTCAGTCTGAGATCTCTGTGTAGAATAAATACTGTTGCTGTACAGTCTTGACTGTTAATGGTTGCAAGCTCTCATTTAGACCCCCATTTGTATATGCACACATACAACCACCACCTCCGGTCCTCTCTCTGACAGTGGATATTTGTGATCTAGTGTGTCTCAAACCATTACATTCGACTTTTGAGTTCTGTGTCAGATGTTTGTTTATATACCCGGGACGGCTTGGTGAAAGATTGAAAGTGACTGCCCCCCTTTACATTCCCAGTCTTGTGTAGCTTTTGAAGCTGGTTGTTGATAGCAATCCTAGTTAGTTGTGCTCTGAAGCAAAGAATTGAATCATCTGTATGCATGATGGCGGTAGAGGGGGTATGCATATTTTAATGTACTTTATTACTAGGTATATGGGTCAGATGATAGGCATGAGCTGAAAAACTGAGCGAGGATCATCATTTGTCCAAGGAAAAACTGATTCAGTTTAAGCAAAAATCTGTATCTGAGGAGATACGGTTGTGTTTGCCTGAGTTCCTTAGAACCTCAGCCATAAGCATTTTACAGCAGAGTGTCTTTCTCAGAGTACCTTGTGATGTGAGTTCTGAAGAGGTGTTTGTACAAGTTATAAGATCCTGTTCTAGTCCACATTGAGAATCCCACGCAAAGAAGGGCTTTTTTCCTTAGCGAGGAGTGCTTCCCTACCGTCTATGATTTTAGAGGGCAGATTTAATGAAATCCCCTTTGCCCAGCATTTTTGCCCTTGTGGCACGCTTGAAGTAGAAACTCTACATGTCCTACTACAGTGTTGTTGGTATGAGGAGCCTCGCATGAAATTCTTCTTCAAAATCCAGACTAAAATATATGTTTTAAGCCTGGGCTGGATTCAATATTTCATCCTCTCGGACATGGACTCAGAAGTTTCCCAGGCTGCTGGTAGGTTTTGGGCAGCCTGTCTTGCAATACATAGAGAGAAGATGAATCTTAATCTTAATCCATAATTCATATGTTCTAAGGTTGGACGATTTTATTTTATAGTTCAGTATTTTGCACCTTTTATGTGTGTATTTAGTTTTATTTTTTGTATTTTAAGCTGTCGAAAGCCATTAATTAAACAGTGGCTCCGGTCACACGGGCAGGAAAAGGCGGGGGGGGGGGAGCGTGGCTGTTTGCACAATACCGGGCGGATGCGGGATCAGACGTACCGGCGAGGTCCTGTGGTTAGGGTGGAGGTGCTGATCACACGAGTGTCCGCACCTCCACAAAGAGCATCCGGCTGATGGAAAGGGGACGGAGCCGCCACCTCTGGGAGGACCGTGCACAGCCCACTCCAGGCAGGGTCCGTGGGCTGCTCACAAGGAGGAGAGGGGGGAGTACCCCCCAGATCCCCCCTCCCTACCAGTAGCCCGCCTTCCCTCCCTCCCTCCCCAGGACACGTGGCCCGCTCTCCGCCTGGCCGCTGCCGCTCACCCCCATCGCAGCCCCCCGTGGCCCTCCCTCGGCCCCAACGACACCGCGCTTCTTTGTGCGCATGCACTGTTGGGCGCTTCCGGAGGCATGGGGGGAGGGGACAACCCGGTGGGCGCCAGATGCCATGGGAGTCGGCAGGGACGCGATCAGGCGCCCGCTCTTGCCGCGCAGTTCCCGGAAACTAGTACCTCGGAGGTACTAGTTTTTTACTGCGCGGCTTTGGCGGGAAGCCTCGGGTGAGCCACGGGAGCTCTACGCTCCCCAGATGTTGTGGTGAGATCGCGCCCGGAAAGTCTGTCTTTCTTCCGTCTATGCAGTGTGGCTAATGCTCTGTGTGACCGCAGCCTTTGATTGTTATAAGTGCTTAAAAGCTGGCACAGTAACTTTTAGTAATGCAAACCTTTAGCTTTTTATATGTGCTTTTCTTAAGTGCTCAAAGGGCTTCCTGTATGCTGTCTCAGTCCTTACAACATCTGTTATGCTAGTAAATGTTTTTACCCACATTATAGGTAGAGGGCAGATCTTTAAAAAATGCTAGTTTCCTTGGAGAGTCATGATTTGTACAAAGGAGTTTCTAGTTCATAGCTTGTGCTGGTGACCAGCTCTTCTAGGACCAGATTGTTGTTGTCAAACTAAATGTTATAGTGCTTCTGCTGAAAATGGCTGCCTCGTATCTAGTTTCCACCCCCCTATAGTTTCCAGTTGCTTAACTCATGTTGTGACATCATAATATTCTGTTTCTCCAGTCTGTGTTGTCAGCAGCCTGTGATGTGAGATCATATGAAAATGCAGAAGTTCATGTCATGATTTAACGTTTACAAGGTGTTGAGGAGGAAAGAAAGTAGATGTTAAGCAGCTATTTTTGTAGGCAGCTGCTCATTTACTGCAATGTCTGATTTGGCTCTTAGCTTTATAATTCTGTTCTCAGAATTAACATTGCTAGGGGCTAAAGTATCTTTTTTCTTTTGTAGACACAAAGCCAAATAATTCCCAGCGGCCTGCCAAACCTGGCGGTGGAGGGAGCAGCGGTGGTGGTGGTGGGAAAAAGGGTGGCAAGAAGGAAGATACTGGCTGGTGGTCCCGATTACAGAAGGTCAGACTGAGGGGGTGAAAGTTACTGGGTTAGTGGTGGTCAGCTTTTGGTGTTCTGTAATGTGCCAATTCATGGCTTTCTTTAAAGCTAAATTGTGCCAGTAGCGCAAGTGAGCATGAAATTATTGGGTTCTAAATGTTGGTTGTTGCTTGATGTGACATTTACCTTTAAAGGCCTATGATCTTTTCTGTTAATGATAGTCAAGTAAGAGTCACATCGGAAATGCTACTTAAATTATTCTGTTCAGTTACTCTAAAGCAGGTTACATGAAGTATGATGTTTAGCAGTGTGTTGCGCTTACAGTTCTGTATGTGGTTTTAACAGAGCGAGCATCCCTAGCCATTTCGATATAGGATGGAGGACAGCACATGTGTCCCTTGGAGTGGCTCCACCTGTTCCCCCTCCCATCTTCCAATGCTCCCATTTGAATCTATACATTGAATTATATCACTGATCCATAGCTGAATCAAATCTAAAAATGTTTTTAATAAGGTAGTCATATTTCAACCTGCTTCCTTTACATAAGCAGTTTTCTGTACATTTTGTACATTTCCTCTCTTCTACCATCAAGTTTATGCTAGAATTAGGAAGAGTGGCTGTTTTCATGAGTGTGAGTTTAAAGGCCAAAGATTCCAGAACAAAGAAAAACAGCTCACTTGCAAGTCTCCATGATTCTTACTGTGTATTCAGTAATTGTAGTATTGCTAGCCACATTTGGAAATAGAGTGTTTGTGTGTGTGTGTGTGTGTGTGTGTGTGTGTGTGTGTGTAAATCATAAATGCAGGCTGAAGATTGAGGTTACAGCACCCCGGGCCCAGAACAGATTGTTCAACTCCAGTATGACGCATGTGATATGCTAGGTAATCTCTCCACGGAGTCAAGCCTCTCCCTCCTGCAAGCCAGCATGGCAAGATAAGGGGAAGTGACCCTGAAGCAGCAGAAATGGTCGGAGCTCAGTAAGACTGGCATGAACCAATAAGGCTGTCACCATGGAACATTTGGTACCAAGCAAGAACTGGGTACACCTGCACTTGGAGGCTGAGGAGGAAGGGCAGATAGAGGTGAAGAAAAGTCAAGAGGAGGGCCAACAACATCCTGATGTCATCAACCCTATGAAGGAGAGAATGAAGATGGGCCAGGGCAGAGTTCTACCTTGCATGCTTCAAGGTCTGGCCAGCCTAGGGTGAGTGTGAATGAGACTACTAGGATGCATATGTGGTTTCAGTACAGCTGTTAGTTTATTAGAAGTATCCTTGGCCAGGACTCTCCTTCTGTCTGCTGATGATACGGGGCCCAGAAGGCCTGTTTCCTGTCCAAAGGTCTGATTGACCCTTAGGTCAAAGGTAAACAGGCCACAGGTGCAGTTTAGTATCTGACAAACTGTCCACTTTATGTGACAAGAAAAAGGCGTGCGGGTAGGTCGTTTTAAAAGGTATCCCTTTGTTTCTTTGAATTGTAAACTGAAAATCAACAGTATATGTAAGAGCATCTCACCCTAATCCATCATTTCTCTTTCTTTTTCTATAGGGTGACTTTCCCTGGGATGACAAAGAATTCCGTTTCTATTTTACGGGCAGTACTATTTTCTGGGCTATTGTTACATACTACTTTTTCTTTAGGAATGTTGGGAGAGAAATCACATGGAAAGACTTCGTCAACAACTATCTTTCGAAAGGAGTGGTAAGTACTGCTTGAGGTTCTTCATCAGCAAAGATTTTTGTGGATGGGTACAGGCTGGCAAGAGTGATAATCTAGTGGAATCAGAAAAATGTAAATAAGTCTACATGAAAGCAGTGATTGCTCCTCGGACCCATGTTTTACTGCCCCCCCCAATCTGCTGCAACCATGTGGCAGGAAGTTGTGTAATACTACAGTCATGTAGCAGGAAGAGGAGGCGCCAAAGTTATTGCCTCACTGATATTATGGCTAGGGGCAACAAAGTAAGACAGCCAGAGATAGGAAACACAAGCTGTACACAGGAACCGTTCTGTTGTGAGAAATAAATTGTAATTGAGGAGTGAAGGCAGGGATGAATCGTCTCCTCCACTGGATGGCCTTACCTCGGCATCCTGCTTGCTCCTCTCAGGTTGTATGGAAAGAGAAGTGGAAGGTGTGGTATGTATGCACGTGGGCACTAGGAACAGGTTGTTCCAAAAAGGAAGTTAAATAGTGAGCCAATAAGTGGGGCTTTATGACCCATGCAAGAGTTGTAACCCATCAATTGGAGGCCACTGCATTACAGGAGAAAATAAAAGAAGTTTTTTATCTCTTCAGATTGGTGCAGCCATCAATGACAAAAGCGAGAGAAGACCCCAAAGTATTGGTGAGGGCTAGTCCCAGTTTATTTTTAAAAGAAAATAGCCTCACACCTTGGACAGGGAGGAGCAGGCTTTTTATTTATTTATTTTTAATTCTATTCCACCCTCTCCGCAAGCGGGCTCAGGGCTGATCACAACAGCAGTTTTAAAAAGTCATTGAAACAATCATAGTAATTAAATAGTTAAAATAATTAAAAAGGCACAGTAATTTAAGACAGCACTATAACTAGAAGGTGTAATAATCTCAAGTGACTGAAGCAACTAGGCCATAACCCAAAAAATATGGGGATTTTCTTAGTCTGAGCCATACAGAGATGGATTTGTTCATCTATGTGCCTACTAATTCTTGGGTGTCCGCTGCCTCATCCAAAGGACTGGCAGAACAGCTCTGTTCTGCAGGCCCTGCGGAACTATAATAAGTCTGTCCACTCACAAGTTAGTGAGGAAAATGAACCGACCTCCTCTCTTAAATAGCTGCAAAGGAAGACTGCCTATAAACCAGCTGTGGAGCTTGAAATGTCTTGGGTTATTTTCTAAAAACAAAGGCCATTTTCTTCTTTTTATCATATAGTTTATGTTTGCTGGACAAAACATAAACTATTTATTTATTATAATTTTTATTAATTTTTAAATTTTATTAATTAATTAAAATATATCCCACCTTCCTCATGGCTCAGGGCAGTTTACAATTTTATTTAAAAACATTTTCAGTTTAAAACCAAAAATAAAATAACAAAATCCAAATCCCTTAAAACATGCCTGTCAATTCAAATTCCCTCAAAAGCCCTGGAGCCCCTCCTGAAGATCTCCAAGGAGGGGGCTGCCCTCACCCATTCCAGAGAGCTGGAGCCACAGGGGAAAAGTCCCAGGCTCTCGTCAATGCCATATGGACCACCCTAAGTGGTGGGATAGCCAACAGATGGCTGAAGACCGTAGGTGGCACATAGGTTGTCAGAAGCCCACAGGGTTCTCAACCCCTTGTTCCATTGCAAGGATGATTTCATTCCCCTGTCCCTGCACCTGGGACCCTGGAATACATCTCCTTCTGATAGTATGACTGAGACCAGGTTTGGACTCCTGTATATGCAGCAGAACACACCAATAAAGGCAGTAAATTTTATTGAAGGAAATTAAGGAATTGGTTCAGGCTGGAGCTGCGGTGGCTCAAGTGGTTAAGACGCTGAACTGCAGGCTGTGGAAGGTCAGTAGTTAGCAGTTCGAGACCCATTGCCGCATGACAGAGTGAGCTCCCGTCTCTAGTTCCACCTCCTGCCAACCTAGCAGTTCGAAAGCAAGAAATTGCAAGTAGAATTTAACAGCGTTCCCTGCGCCTTGGTGTTTAGTTATGCCGGCCACATGACCACGGAAACGTCTTCGGACAGCGCTGGCTCTTCGGCTTTGAAACGGAGATGAGCACCACAACCCTAGAGTCGAATTTGACTGGCTTTCGAGCAAGGGAACCTTTACCTTTACTTCAGGCTTAAGCATAAGCAAAAATAGGTATGTGCCATGAAAATAACAAAGTCTAGCTTCCTACATGCATATGTGAAGGCAGGCAGATTGCAGTATCTTCAAATCAGCATCAGTAAGAAAGCAACAGAGTCGGAGATACAGCAAGATGGTTCTTGGCCCCTGATGGCAATATTGGGCCCAGCTTGTAACTTGTTTTTGTTGTTATTCAGTCACACATTCGAGTCCGACTCTTCGCGACCCCATGGACCAGCTCCCGCCAGGCCCTCCTGTCTTCCGCCGTCCTCTGAAGTTTGCTCAATTTCATGTTCGTTGCATCAATGACACTGTCTAACCATCTCATCCTTTGCCGTCCCCGTCTTCTTTGACCTTCAATCTTTCCCAGCATCAGGGTCTTCTCCAGTGAGTGCTCCCTTCTCATTTGGTGGCCAAAGTATTTGAGCTTCAGTTTCATTATCTGGCCTTCCAGGGAACAGTCAGGGTTGATTTCTTTGAGGATTGACTGATTTGTTCTTCTTGCAGTCCAAGGGACTCTCAAGAGTCTTCTCCAGCACCATAGTTCAAAAGAATCTATTCTTCGGCGCTCGGCCTTCCTTATAGTCCAACTCTCACAGCCATACATGACTACTGGGAATACCATTGCTTTGACCATGCGGACTTTTGTTGGCAGGGTGATGTCTCTACTTTTTATCATGCTGTTTAGGTTCGCCATCGCTTTCCTCCCAAGGAGCAGGCGTCTTTTAATTTCATGGCTGCAGTCACAGTCTGCGGTGATCTGGGATCCCAGGAACGTGAAGTCTGTCACTACTTCCACGACTTCCCCTTCTATTTGCCAAGGAGTGATGGGGCCGGATGCCATGATCTTAGTTTTTTTGATGTTGAGCTTCAAGCCCACTTTTGCGCTCTCCTCTTTTACTCTGAGCAAGAGGCTCTTTAGATCCTTTTCACTTTCAGCCATTAGAGTGGTATCATCTGCATATCTGAGGTTGTTGATCTTTTCCCCAGCAATCTTAATTCCCGCTTGTGATTCATCCAGGCCAGCATTTCGCATGATGTACTCTGCATATATATTAAATAAGCAAGGTGACAATATACATCCTTGTCGTACTCCTTTTCCTATGCTGAACCAATCAGTTGTTCCATATCCGGTTCTAACTGTCGCTTCTTGGCCCTTATACAGGTTTCTCAAGAGACATGTGAGGTGGTCTGGTACTCCCATCTCTTTAAGGACCTGCCATAGTTTGTTGTGATCCACACAGTCAAAAGCTTTAGCATAGTCAATGAAGCAGAAGTAGATATTTTTCTGGTACTCTCTTGCTTTCTCCATAATCCAGCGAATGTTGGCAATTTGATCTCTAGTTCCTCTACCTCTTCGAAACCCAGCTTGTACTTCTGGTAGTTCTCTATCCACGTACTGTTGAAGCCTCGCTTGTAGGATCTTGGGCATGACCTTGCTAGCGTGTGATATGAGTGCAACTGTGCGATAGTTTGAACATTCCTTGGCATTGCCCTTCTTTGGGATTGGAATGTATACTGACCTTTTCCAATCCTGTGGCCACTGTTGCGTTTTCCAAATTTGCTGGCAAATGGAGTGCAGCACTTTAACAGCATCATCTTTTAAGACTTTGAATAGCTCAGCTGGAGTACCATCACCTCCACTAGCTTTGTTGTTAGTAATGCTTTCTAAGGCCCATTTACTTGTTACTCAACATCTGTTTCTTGTTGGTACCTTGCATGTTGCTCTCTTTGTTGTAACCCCCCTCAGACTGGGTGTAAGCTAACTTTATAAGAGAACTGAATCACTGACCTCCTGACCAGTGTTAGCCAATCAAGAACGTGATCCAAAAGATGATCCTCAAAGAAGAACAGGGCTCCCCCGTCCCATCTGAATGTAATTAAGTCAGAGTCTTTGATATTCCAAGGTGCGACCAGTGCTTTTTATCTTGGTCTGGGAACAGCGGAAGAGTGATAAGCATTTCACATGGAACTGTCCCCAATGTTATTCTTTAGGCTTGGATGGCACAACAAGGAGTTGGCTGTTGGTTTAAATTTATGACAAGGCCAAATGCTAATGTTTTAAAACTACGAAAAAGAGCCAACAAATCTAAATAAATGTTTATACAAAAATTTATAATTTTCTAGTATTTTATAATTTTGTCTCAGTCTTTGTTACAATATTTCAATATTTGTGTCAGTCTTACTAATGTTTTGTATACAACAGAAATATTGCCACAACCGAAGCCACACTGTACAGTCATTATTATAGTGTCAGCAATTGGAACAAATTCCTATACCGTCTTAATTTGTTGTTACGAGATAATGCAATATAATTAGTCCGTAAATGAGTCTCAGCAAGGTAATAATTCAAGGCCAGAATCCATGAAAAAGTTCACAAGCTTCCGTTTGTGCAATGCAATCATGTATCTCTGGTATACGAGTACAAATATGTTACTCCGGTGTTCACAAAGACAGAATTTTACAGAATGTTTCTTCCTGTTTTGGGACCTTCCTCAGTCAAGAGGGAATTGAAGAGTGCACACTTTCTTAGAATTGCCTGAAAATAATACCTAAGCCCCATATTCATATATGCATTCTAAATTCTGAAGAAGCAGAACACCCTCACCATCTCCTAAAAATAACAATCATACAGAAATGCCATTCATAGGGTACAAACAGAAAGTCTCTACAAGCCATCGTGCCCTTGACAAGAATTGCCTCCTACAAGAAATACTGTCATCACTTAATTACATGCAGCTGTACGTGGTGCTGCAAAAAGAGTTTTAAACTGACGCGTGTGTATATATGTATACATATGATTAGGCAGCTGACTCCCTACATCTCCCCCCCTCCTCCAGGACTTGGCTACAGTGACTCATGCAATGGTCACTTCCAGACTTGATTACTATAACTTGCTGTATGCAGGCTTGCCCTTGTGACTGATCCGGAAACTCCAGCTAGTGCAAAATGTAGTGGCACACCTGCTAACTGCATCACCTGTGCAGGTGCACGTTCGGCCGGCATTGCGCCATTGCACTGGCTATCAATTGAGTACCAGATGTTTCAAGGTATTGTGACTGACCTTTAGAGCCTTGTGCAGCCTGGGACTGACATACCTGAGGGATCACCTCTCTCCATATGTGCTCTGCTGGTCAAGATCTGCTGATTGTCCGCAGCCCAAGGGACATCCACTTAGCCTTGACCAGGGCCAGGGCTTTTTCTGCCCTGGCCCCAGCCTGGTGGAACATTCTTCTGTATGAGATCAGGGCCCTGTGGGACTTATTACCATTCCGCAGGGCCTGTAAAATGGAGCTGTTCCGCTAGGCCTTTGGCTGAGGTGGTGGTCATTCAATAAAAAACGTGGCCTCCCTTCCTGAAATTGAAGCCTACCACCTCAACATGGCCCAGACCAATAAGATCTTACAGACCCAGTGGCACTAGCTTGAAATACTGTATATAATAGTGCGACCTGTTTTGTGTTTTCTCTTTTAAAATCTATGCTATTTTAAATTGTTTTTAATTATTCTGTAAATTCTGTTTATGTGTTTTAGAATCTTACTGTGATCTGTCGTGAGCCCGCTTGCGAGGAGAGCGGAATAGAAATTGAATTAAATAAACTAATTGGAGAAAAAATTTAAACTGACAAATACAGTGTGGCTTATATTGTGGCAATATGCTTCCCTTTTCTATGAAGAAGTTTCTTTCTGGATACAAATACAATAATATCCTATCTTACTTACTGCTTCATGGGTCCTAAATATGAGCTACTTTAAATACAAATGGGAAGTTCTTGCAATGCAGTAGTCCTGTTGAATTTTTTTAAAAAACACCTTTCGCTGTATAGCAGGCTTTGCCAGGTTTCTTCCTACTCACTGTAGCCCTCTGTGCCCAGTGACTTTTTGTCCACGGTCATCCTGAAGCCACAGGCAAAGTTGGGCTATGTGTCTCAGTGCAACTGTGGGAAAGGAAAAATGGTGAAAGATCCAGCACTGAACACCTTCCCTTCATGCAACCCTGGGATGTAGCTTTGTAAGATCATATTGATTGTCAATGAGAACATGGCATACTCCAGCTTCCCCAAAACTAGACCAAACTGAAATCCTCTCATTAGTCAGTGAAACTCCTAGGATCCTCAAATCTGTGACACCCACAGGGCGGTGTTTTCCTTGTGTACCAGTATCAACTGGGGAAGGGCAGTACTCAGATGCTTCCATATATTTTCTGTTGTACACACTGTAGCCTAGGTTCCAAAACCAGAAGTCCTGTTGAATTATGCTTTTGGCTTGCAGGCAGGGCCGGCTCACTCACTAGGCAAACTAGGCGATCGCCTAGAGCGGGCTGGCCCTTAGGGGTGCCAAACTGCACCCGGCCCCGTACTCTGGGAGTTTCTTGATTATTTGTGTTTTTCATTCTTCCTAAAATGCATTTATTTTTGAAAAATGGTGGGTGCACGGGGGGGCGCCAGAAGGGATCCTTGCCTAGGGTGCAAAATAAGCTGGGGCCGGCCCTGCTTGCAGGTGTGTCTGATCCACAGGGGCTCATGGTCTGGCACAAAGGATGGGTTTTGTGAGTGTTGAACCCTTCCGCTCCTTCCATGTTTCTCCCTGCAGCTCTTCTCCTCAAGCAGGCTCACTTTCCGACATTAATCAGAAAAAGGCTGACATTGTAGAGGGACTGTAGGAGGGAACAGGCCTATAGGGGAGTGCCTATTTGTGCTTTAAATCATACAAACACGTACACTCCTCAGTCCATGTGTTTCTGTGGCGGATTCCCCTAAATATAGACACGGGTTGGCCTCTGTCAGGACCATTCAGCCTTCCGGTTTTCGAAATCCTTTGCAGCACAGTTGGGCTGGTGAGTAATGCCGTTTCGAATGTGGTTGAAATCCTCACTGTTTACTTCTGAAAGGATTGTACTAATATGAATATTTTGCTGCTGTAATACAACCCCGGTAGCATGGCTTACATACACACACTGGCAGTTATTCATAATTTTTTCTGTGTCTTCACAGGTGGACAAGCTGGAAGTGATTAACAAGCGCTTTGTCAGGGTGGTCTTTACCCCTGGAAAGTCTCCTATTGATGGGGTAAATTTTATTTTTCAGTTTGGCTAAATGCATTAAATGGGGTGAACCATTTATATCTGTATGGATTCTTCAAAGATGTTAAATAGGAGTCTGACGTTTAAACTGAGCTGTTACTTGGGCAGAAACAAGGGTCTACTATACGTCAAGAATATTTTCTGGATGCTTCATAACTTTAACTTCTATACTCGTGATGTTACGGGATTTTTAAAATCTATAAATGTATTTTTTTAATTTGCCTTTAAAACGAGGTAGGTTTTTTGATGATTCTTAACTTCAGTTTAATGAAAGCTAAATGGCTGAACTCCTCCTGGTATCTGAGCTGTGGGCTCCCTTGTGCAGCCTGGTTTAAAGGGGCTGCAGGAGGGAGCCCAAAACAGCAGAGAGAGCTCTCCCCACCAGCCCGGCTGAGGGCTCCCTGGTACAGAGCACTCACCCCTCCAGCTCAGTGGTCTTGGGCTCTCTCCTGCAGCCCCTTTAAACTAGGCTGCATGAGGGAGCCCACGGCTGGGATGGTGGGCAGAGCTCTCCCCACTGTTGCAGCTACAGCCGCAGGCTCTCTCATGTAGTGCGTTTAAAGGGGCTACACCAGGGAGCCAGAGGCAGCTGAGCCGGCACAGAGAGCCTTCTGTGTGCTGTCTCAGCTGTCTTAGGCTTGCTCACGCAGTTCATGTGACCAGGAGAAAGTGGTGGGGGTCTTCCTTCCACCTTTCTCTTGGCTGCAGCGAGCAGCAGCCAGGAGAGAGTTGGGGGGTGGATCTCCCAGGAGAAAGTGGAACTCCTCGTTGGCAGGGAGAACTTTCTCCACATGAGCCCAGCTGTTTCAGGCTCACTGGTGCAGCCCGTTTAAAGGGGCTATGCTTGGAAGCCAGAGGCAGCTGCCAGCTCCCTGGTGTGGCCCTTTAAACAGGCTGCATGAGCGAGCCCGTGTCAGTTGGGCTGCCAAGGAGAAGGCTCTCCACACTGGCTCAGCTCCCTCTGGCTCCCTCTTGCAGCCTGGTTTAAAGGAGCTGCAGGAGGGAACCCAAGACTGCTGAGTGAGCAGGGAGAGCTGCGTAGTCAGGAGAGAGCAGGATGGGACACCTCTTCCCCGGTGATCCGGTCTCCCTTTCTCCTGGCTGGCGCAACCTGTTTAAAGGGGCTATGGCAGAGAGCCAGAAGCAGCTGCTGGCTCCCTGGTGTAGCCCCTTTAAATGGGCTCCCTCTTGCAGCCCAGTTTAAAGGGGCTGCAGGGGGGAAGCCCACGACTGCTGAGCTGGCAGGAAGAGCAGTGCAGCCAGTAGAGAGGGAGATGGGAAGCACCTTCTCAGGCGATCCCACCCCTGTTTCTCCTGGCTCCATGACCAGAGAAAGGGAGATGGGAAGCACCTTCCCCGGCAATCACCCCCCCCCCTTTATCCTGGCTGTGCAGCATGGAGGGAGGGAGATGGGAAGCACCTTCCCATGAGACCCCAACCACCCCCCTTTCTCCTGGCCAGGGCAAGCCTGAAGGGAGTCCCTTCCAAGGTGATTCCCTTCTCCTTTCTTCTGGCCAGGGGGAGCTGCAGCCAGGAGAAAGGTGGAACAGAGTTCTTTCCCGAGTGAGCCCCGCCCCCTTTCTTGCCATGGCTGGGAGAAACGGGGAACCAAACTTCCTGGGTTGGTTTGGTTTGGGTGGGGACCATTTGGGTCTGTTTGGCGGCTGCCCTGAAACAAACCACCTTTTTTAGGTTCATGCCCATCCTTATAAGCATTATTAAGTACCATATTTACTCAAAAGGAGGACTCTGAATGTAAAATGACCCATCCCCAAAAAAGGCAAAAAGGAAGAAAGAATAATCTTGAATTTAAGGCTGTCCACCCCCATACCTTTTGGCATCGTGAACCAGGAGGTGCAGCCAGTTGCGGGGGCACACTCCTCTGTTTCTGCGGCTTCTGGAAAGGGCTGTGAGGTAAGAAAGGGGAATGCCCCCAAGTATATATCCTGATGGAAGACGCACATACCCTTTTTGTTGCAAAGGAACGAAAGATCCCGCCTTTTCAAGTAAACACAGTAATATGGCTTGCTTTATTTCTGGGTGTAACACAAAATGCTAAGGCCCAGACATGTCTTAAGATTTTTTAAAAAGTTTTTCAAGGGATTTTTCTTCTAGTTCAAATTTAAACAGCAAGAGTCAGAACTTCTCCAGAAAAAAAATGAAATCTATAGCTGCATAAGTAGAACAAATGGAGTTGTTGTTATTGCACATTGCCCTTTAACCATAACCATTGTCTTCTTGACTAACCTATGTGCTTCAATCTAAAGTGTTCCAAATGTGTGACAGACATTCTAAAACAAGGGCCTATAATCTTGTGTTTGCCTGCACTTCTGGAATTTTGAGAACAGGGAGTGGATGTCACCACAGAATTGCCATATGGGGCACTGGGGCCAATTGCACAATGTTGGGACATTGTAAGCCAAGCATCCTCCTACAATGAAAGCAGTGGTCTTTGAATGGGTTCCTCTTACAGAAAACTAGATGATGTCTTCTGGTTTCTTCTGAAGCACCTCTTGCTCCAGTCAGTTAAAGGAATGCCAGGACTGGCTGGCTGCTTTCACGCAGAGATGCTTTGCTGAAGAAGCAAATGGGTATCAGGAATCCTTCTGGTGTGCACCATGTTGGGAGTCAGTGTTCAACAATCGCATTTACTAAATGCAGCCTCCTTGACTTTCTAACAAGCCATGCAGTATAAAAAGGAGCTTCAAATGCTACTGTTTGTGTGGCACAATGAACTGCTGGGACGGGGGCATGTGAGAAACTTCACTGTTTATACCCAAATCACTGTAGTGATGTTTCGAATTTTGGGCACAGCGGGTTGGATCCAGTGGTAAATTTCCACTCGCAGAAGGAGGGTTTCAGTGATTTTCTCCATGCTATTCTTTAAAATCCCCTATCCCCTAGGAACAGCATTTCAGGGGACATTTGGACTATAGCTGGAAGAGGGGCAGGAAAGTCCTGTTCTGCTAACAGGAATTCCTTCCTTCCTCCCTTCCTTGTCAGTTTATTGGGTATGAGATGCAACACAAACCCCAAAAAAATTTTTTTGCAGTCATGGACAGTGTTAGGGATTTACCAAAGAGACATGCCTGGTCAAACAAAAAGCTCGAGTCCCAGTGAGGCATCAATGGCAGGCTTCTAGTTCTCATTGTCGCTTCCTCCGAAGGTGTGCTTGTTCAATAGGTACTCAGCCATTGCAGATTTTGGTGCCCCCATCTTGCGCAAATTAGTCATATGATCACCCAGCTCCTTGATGGATTTGACCTGCTCATCCAGATTTTTATTTATTTATTTTATACCCCGCCCTCCCCGGCAGATAGTGTGTTTCAGTGAAGTCACATAAATGGGGATCATTTCTATCAGTTGCCAGTTTATGCAGTTCCAACAAAGACTGGTTCACATTCTTCTCCAAGTGCAAAGCACACTCCACTGCTGTCAGCCCACTCTCCCAATCATAACAATCTGGTTTCTCGATGTCCTGTAGGAAAATATGACCACCCCTCTTGTTCTGCAGCTTCATAAGTTTCTTGCTCCTCATGCGACTAGTGCAAGAAGTACTTATTATTTATTAGATTTATAACAGATTTACTTAACAGATTTACCTAGCAAAGTTCTTCAGAGCCACATAACCACAGTCAAAGTCGTAGGACATGCTGAGGTGCCCATAGGAAGCATGAAGCTCCAGGTTGATCTGCCGGTTGATGGCCGCTTCACACTCCTGATGGTAGTTCTGGTGCACCTGGGAAATAAACGAAGCCATGGCAGCACTGCTGTGAGAGTGGATGGAGGCGGAGGAGCCAAGAAGGGGAAATCCCATCCAGTCACTGTTGAAGCGGGAATGAGGAATTTCTTTATCTTCAGAAATTACCACTGAATCCAATACCATTTCTGAATTCTGGTGCACATCATCATATGTTTGGAGTGCAAATTTAATATTTAGAAAAATATTTAGAAAAGTTGTTTAGGAAATTTATGTACCACCTCTCCAGGTATCTATATATCTAATAGCGAAGGTGCCCCATTGCGTGTGGATACTTATTTCCGCATATCGGGGGCACCTGGGGGGGAGGGAGATTTTCGTGCACACTTGGGGCAGTCCCCAGGTGTGCACAAAAATCTAAAACCCCGGAAAAAATATCAGGGGGATACTTAAATCCCCCCAAAAGTGACAGAGCATCCCCTGCGCATGCGCAGGGAACGCTCTGCAAACTCCCTCACCGCCGCCACCGCCTCGGAAGGGGGGGAGAAGAGAGCAGCGAGGCCCGAGCGGCAAGCCGCACGGGCCTCGCTTCGGAGCCGGGGGGAGAGAGAGGAAAGGGGGGAGATTGAGCGGGGGGTTTCAGTCATCGCAGGTCCCGCCCCTTGTAGAATTATATTCCTCAATTTAAAATTTCTTGGGCAATTTTCAACAGTTAAAAAAAATAAAAATAAAACACATTATAACATAACCATAATACAATAATAGCATTAGGGAAAAATAATTGCAGAAGGTTAATTAACAACAAAACTGGTGAACTAGTTAGTGATGGCAAGGACCAGAAACACCCAAAAATGCAAACATTTAATCAATTAAAAAATACCAGGTTAAAATGTTCCCAAGGGAATTAAATTTGGTGTCAGGTGGAAAGCATTCCCCATGTGAATGGCCCCAGTGGAAAAGGCCCTGTTATTATCGACTATCTACCTCCACTTCCTGTTTGAGAGCAGGGGCATGTGGAGCCTGCTTTCTGGTGAAGGTTTTAACAGGCAGGCAGGTAGGTATAGATGGATTCTTGAGATTTTGGCCCAGAGGTTAAAAACCAGCACTTTGAGTTGAACCAAATTTCATATTATCTTCCAGGACTGCGCCACATAGAGCATGCTGCAGTGATCTAATCTAGACGTGACCAATGTAGATAACTGTGATCAGATCAAGGCCTTGCGTGTGGCCTAAGGTCATGTGGCAGGCTAGCTGTGTATTGTCAACTTGTGGTGAACTGCGGTTTTAATGAAAACCTCCTATTTCAATGTCTTGCAAGTTTTAGTTTAAAATACTGAAATGGAGGCATTATAAACTGTTTTTTCCCCTTTTTGCAGCAATATGTCTGGTTTAATATTGGAAGTGTGGATACTTTTGAACGGAACTTGGAAACTGCACAGCTCGAGATGGGGATAGAAGGGGAGAACAGATTGCCTGTAGTATATTCAGCAGAGAGCGATGGGTAAGACCTGGAAACAATGGGAATTGTGATGGAGTTTATTGTGTATTACTTTGTCCATGTTATTTGGCAATTTTGCTGTCTTTTAAAAGCTCAGTCTGCTAGATTAAATCATAAATAATTTCAGCATTACACAAGCAGCTGCTCTTCAGAGAGTTGAGTGACTGTCAGTAGACCATCATAACTTGACAGGAAAGGTAAATGAGGTGTTGCTATAGTTATTACATACTAAGCAGACAATTCCTTTCTAGCTGCCCTTTAAATGTTCTGTTTTTAAATCCATTGTTAAATAGTGGCAGAGATCCAAAGAGCTACTGAAGTTAACACACAAGATTGTTTTCGGGGTTTTTTGGTATTTTTGCATTTTGTGTGTGTGCCTGTGCCTGGAAGTCATGGTGACCTCTGGCAGCTCCTACTGGAGCACAGAGGACATTCAGAGAAGTGGCTTGATAGCCTGCCTCTGGCCTCCCGGCCCTGGTATTCTCTGGAGGTCTCCCATTCAAATATTTGCCAGAGTCGGCCCTGTTTAGCTCCAAAGATCTGGTGAAATTAGGCTTGCCTGGGCTATCCAAGTCAGGGCAGTTGACACACATCTTTTGACTTTTTCTTTGAACCAAATGTCGTACCACTAGTTGTTTTTGAGTCTTCCATCAGTTTCAAGAGCAGATTGTTAAGAGGCATTTTGTAGTGAGCTGCAAATCAAGAAAAACCCATCTAAAGCCTTCTGAGACTCATAGCTAGACTTGTGTGGTTCCTGGGATGCTGGGCCACTGTCTTCCTAAACTGCCCAATCTTTAGTTTTCTCTCTCAATAGACTTTCAAGTTATCATCCTGGTGTCTTGTAATGACAAAAAGGGAGAGTTATGAAATGTTTTGTACAGGGATGCTGAAATATTGGCTTGCCTTACTAGCAATTGCCTTTTTGTGTTTCCCCCTGCATACCCCCCAAGTCCCTTGGGATGATTTTAGATGTGATAGCAAAGTGTATTTTCAGTGTAGTCATATTTTCGTGGGGCAGTTGCTCATAAAATATCTCTGTGCCCCAGCTTTTGCTTATCTGTCTCTTTTTCCTGCTGTGGTAGTTATTAAACAACCTGTTCTTAACTACTGGCATTTACCCCTGTTTTAGCTCATTTCTTCTAAGTATGCTGCCAACAGTTCTGATAGTTGGCTTCTTGCTCTACACGTTAAGAAGAGGACCTGCTGGAATGGGCCGAACAGGACGGGGAATGGGTGGACTCTTCAGCGTGGGGGAAACAACAGCCAAAGTCCTAAAGGATGAAATAGATGTAAAGTTCAAAGATGTAGCTGGCTGTGAGGAGGCTAAACTAGAGATAATGGAGTTTGTTAACTTCCTGAAAAACCCAAAGCAATATCAAGACCTTGGGGCAAAGATCCCAAAGGTAAGACATTTCAAGCTGGATCCAATCAGTTTTCTGCTGCTGGAAAAAAGGAGGGGTTGTGAGGGACTTACATGTACAAGATGGAGAATTAAAACATTTGTATGCATTTTTTAAAGGAACAGGTTCTTGGGTTTTCAGTTCAGAGAAACACAGGATTGGTATACTTCAGAATAAAACTATTTTAAGATTGTTGTAATTTGGAATTCATTTTTCCCTCTTTCAGGGAGCCATTTTGACAGGACCTCCAGGCACTGGTAAAACGCTTCTAGCCAAAGCTACAGCTGGAGAAGCCAATGTTCCTTTTATTACCGTCAATGGGTCTGAATTCTTAGAGATGTTTGTCGGTGTGGGTCCAGCTAGAGTAAGTCTATGGGTTTACTCTGTTATTGCAGTGTTGGTTGTTAAAGGACACTGTCAGGGTTGGTAAGGACAAAAACACACTTATGCAATAAACTGCATTAATTGCCCAACTTGCATCTGTTCATCTTAATTATGCCTATAAGCTGTTTTAATTAAGAACCATCAGTTTTAGAAGACTCAGTTGCTAGGAAAGCTTCTTCTAAGCTATATTATGGCCTGCCATTTTTTGGTTCATACGAATACATAATCATGACAGGGGAGTTGAAATGTAATCTAAACTTAGCTACTTAATTTGTAGGAAGGCTGGATGTATTGATCACCAGCATGTTAGCAGCACAAGCAGGACTGAGACCTGAAACAACAGCAATGAGCTAACCAAAGTCTGCAAAATGCTATGATTAGGAAGAGCAATTTATTGTCCCAACAAAGTGTGATATTAGTAAGGCATTCAAGTTTAGGTATTTAGCAGAAACATGGTACAAACTCTCCAAAAAGTATTCCCTGAAACAGCTTGCGCCATTTATAGCCCCAGTAAAAAGATTCAACTTTTATTGAATAGTATCTATTTCCTTTTTTTTATCAGTTCATTTTGACTGATGGGACTCTGATGTCCAAGTTCCATTGAAGCAAACCTGCGGAACAATATGGTTGTACTAAACTGCAACACATGGCTGTTTGTAGTACTAAGCCTTGATAACTTAATAAGCTTGTAGTGTTATTTAAGATTTAGTAATATGGGCCATTCAGTTACTCTTCCTCCGGGACTGTAAAGGGGCAGAGCTAGTGGTGGGATGAGTGGTTGTTGAAGTTTGTGTTGCAGTTTTCAAAATATATATGAAAATGATACAAAAGCCAAAAAAGATAGAAATGTCATAGAAGTCATGTCTTCTGCTGTATATCTTGATCAGTTATGTTACAGCATACATCAATAATTGTTTCAGTACATCAATAATTGTGTTGGTACTGTTTTATCTAACTTATTTCTATTCCAGCACGCGGTAAATGGTTGCCATCTTTCTAATAAATGTATGGCAGCGAGCCTTGTTGCCCACATTTGTCATAGTTTGACATGTTCTCAATAATAATGCCCTAGAAAATGATAAATTAAAGGAGATTCAGTAAATATATCCTTTGGTAAGTATGGAATAACTTCATTCCATGTGCCTTAGTTCTTCAGAAATCCACTCACTAGATCATATTGTGTTATAAAGTTATGGGTTGCATAGGCCATAAATAACCGTTATAAATAGCCTGAAGAGCAGGAGTTGATAAATGAGTCTAAGAACAGGTTAGACATCACAAGTGGATTTTTGTTTTCTGTTAAGCTTTGTATGAAGCTTATCAGGTATGAAGTATTTCATCCTTACAAATACAGCATACCATCACATTCGGATTTATAGATGCAGGTGGGTAGCCGTGTTGGTCTGAAGCAACACAACAAAGTTTGAGTCCAGTGGCACCTTTAAGACCAACAAAGTTTAATTCCGGGTTTCAGCTTTTGTGTGCATGCACACAGTTTTCCTCAAGCCTTACATATAGATTGAGAGAGGATGGAGGTGGTCAGTTGCCAGGAAGGGCTAGTTAGAGTCAAAATGCATAAATAACTGCTTTAGTCCAATCTCAGCTATACATACAGTTACGCATCTTGACTCTAACTAGCCCTTCTGGGCAATTAAGCCCCCCCACACACACACACCCCTTTTCTCTGCCTATTAGGGATGGGCATGAGCCTCATCATGAATCTAATGTCATCACAAACATTGCCTGATCCATGAGCTTCTCTGGTTTGTGTGGCAGACACACTGGCGCTGATCAGTTGATCGTCAAAGCAACAGGGGAGTGGACTTCTGCAGCCCTGGAAACATCAATGGTGGCCCTCCAAATACCAAACAAAAATGGCCCTTGTGGGACCCAGGGGGTGCGGAGGAAAGTGTGAAAGAGTCCGGGTCGGGGGGGGGTGGAAGGAGAAGAAAGCGAAGTGGAGGAGGGGTGTGCACTGGTGGCAGCCCAGGAGAGGGAGGAGGTGGAGATCCGAGGCTTGGGGAGAAAGGGGAAGGTGATCTCCTTTTCATAGAAGTGGTGGAAACTTCAGGAAATCAGCCCACAGGGCAGTCAGAGGGAGGCCAGCAGATGAGGCCCAGAAGACAAAGAATAACAGGGTCCGAAGGAACGGGGGAGTAGTTCTCCTTTTGAAAGAAGTGGCAGGGATGCCAGGGAATTGAGAGGGTGGCCAGCAGATGAGGCCAGGCCTCAGAGGGGGACCCCAGGAGGCCCGGAAGTCAAGGATTGCAGGATCAGAAGGAAAAGGGGGGCAATATCTGTTTGGTAGAAGAGGAGAGTCAGCTGGAGATTTGCTGCGAATTTAGCATCTCTAGCCTGCAGGGAGGCCATTTTACCGCATCCTGAACCTCACAAAACAAACTGGTTCAGTAAACAGGAAGCTTCGTGAAGGTTTGTAGTTTGTTGGGGTCTGAGGAATGGGGATGAACCTCCATTTTCCCAGTTCATGCCCATCCATACTACCTATATGTAAGTCTTGAGGAAAACAGTTTTAATGTATCTGAAGGAGTATGCATGCTCATGAGAGCTTATACTCAAAATTAGACTTTGTTGGGATTTATAGTAAAGTTACTTTTATGTACTAGTGTTAACTGTTATATGCATATCTGTATTTGCTGTCATCATAGTGATCTACCTCACAGAACAGTTAACTCACCTACACTTTAAAGTGAGTTACAGTAGCTTGTTGAAGGATACTGTGTGATGTGGATAAGTCCTTCCATGTAGGAAAAAAGTTGTGGCCATACTGCCAAGCAAACTAGATGTTTGTGCAATCTTTATGTATGGCAATGTGTATTACATTTGTGCAGGATATCTTTCATATTGCATTGGGTTTGCAGCAGAAACAGGACTTGAATCAAGGTCTCCTAGGTCTACATCTAACTCTTTACATTGGACTTCACCATAAAACATTTATTTCAAGTTGCTGTGTGGGTATAAAAACATTCTGATACTTCCCAGGGTTTCCTAGACCTTTTAAAATGCCAGTATTTAGTTTATTTCATAATCAGCATGTTGGCTAGAATATAATCTTCCTAATAGTCATGCAAATTACCCTATTTGTATATATATTTGAAGAACATGAATGTAGCTTTGTGGTGTATTCTGTGGCCTAGGGAAATAAAGTAGATGGCATTACATGATTGAAAATACCTTCTGTTCTCTTTTAAAGGTTCGTGATTTATTTGTTCTAGCTCGTAAAAATGCCCCTTGCATTCTCTTCATTGATGAAATAGACGCAGTGGGAAGGAAGAGAGGACGGGGTAACTTTGGAGGGCAAAGTGAACAAGAAAATACACTCAACCAACTACTAGTTGAAATGGATGGTAACTATTTCATTTTGCAGACCTTCTGGTGCACCCCACCACTTGTATCTTAGAGCAGCCCTTCGGCTGCAAACACACCAACTGGAAATAGCTCTGCCGTGACCGCAATGAAGTAAGTTGCTTGGAGGGTCACAGTTAGGTACAGTAAAGAGCTATGACATGAAGGGATTGTTAAATATGCCATAGAAAAATAAAGAAACTTTGCCAGATGCGATGATCAGTACTGTCAAGTCACCCCCCTCTCCAGGCTGATACCTCTGATGCTTCCTTAGTGCTGCATGTTTAATAATTATCTGTTCAGTTGAAATGAAGCATTCTAACAGTTGTGTTGAAATTGCAAAGTCCCCTTCCTTTTTAGTTAATTGAGAAACTTAAGTTAAAACTTAAAAATAAAATTTCTCACTGCTGCCTTCCTGCTACAGCCCCCACTCCCGAGGGTCAGTGAGCCCTTGAGAGCAGAACAAGATGGGGCACGAGAGGCTGACAAGGGAAGAATAGAGATCCCCCCATACACACCCCACACCCCTTGTGTGGAAGTACAGGTGTGGATCCAAGCTCATGGAATTTTTTTCTTCATAAACATATAGAAGTGTACTTACTATTCTGAGGGGGATGTTGCATGTGCTCATAGCAGTTGTACCTTTACATAATTACGTGTTTGTTTTTTGTTCTGTTCGTAGGGTTTAATACTACAACAAATGTAGTTATTCTAGCAGGGACCAACAGACCGGATATCCTAGACCCTGCGCTTATGAGGCCAGGACGGTTTGATAGGCAGATCTTTATTGGTAAGCTTACCCCCATGTTGGTAGAAAGTGTTAGGTCTGTGTCACCTTTATATTCCATCCTTCTGGTGAGAGGGTCGGGGTGGCGTACATGAGGGCTCTCTGTCTCAGCCCCTGTGAGGCGGCGAATGGGATGGAGAGTGCTAAAGGTCATGTAATGAGCTTCATGGGAAGTGTTTTTGCTACAGACTAGTAAGACGTGTAAATGCTTAGAGCATTTTTCTTAAATAGTAGATTGAAAAGTCTTTTTCTTTTAAACTCTTGAAGGGCCACCAGATATAAAGGGAAGAGCATCTATTTTCAAAGTTCACCTTAGGCCCCTGAAGTTGGATAGTAGCTTGGATAGAGATAATTTAGCACGAAAACTTGCATCTCTGACTCCTGGATTCTCAGGTCAGTGCTTCTATAAAACAATAATTATTTTGGATTCAATATACTATGTTGCTTGTTGGCATCCCATTCTATTTGCTGTCCCCGTGACCAGTCAGACTTGAAAGCCACAAACCAGCTGACTGCCTCATGGCAGCAAAGCATTTCTCACTTTCTGATGTTTCACTTATTCTTTCTCCAACTCTGTGTGTGTCCCATTGGGAGGTTTCAGGCCCGCCTTGTAAATGAATCTGACCCTTCTCTGTGTGTCCCCTTCCTTCATCCCTCTTTCTTCTGGCCCTTCTCTTTCCCACTCACCACTTAAAAAGCATGCTGGGCGTGGCTGCCATTTCTCCTTCCGAACATTAAGTTCTGAGTTCGCACCTAGAAGAGCACTGTAGTGCTTTATTTCCCAGGATGGCAGGGATGGCAGAGTGCTGTTGCCACACTTTCTCCTGGCTGGGAGAGGAAGTTATGATTTCAGGCTGTATTGGTGATCCATTTCCACTCCCTCAGTAGCAGAAAAGGTGTGTTAGTGCCATGTCTCTTTTCCCAGAAAGGAATCACTGTTGGTCTTTTCCACCTTACAAAAGGTAACTAGTATCTTAGAGGAGGGGTTGTCACTCATATGTGGCAAATTCTACTTGCTGATGCCAAAGAAATGAATTGTGCTGTTTTTAAAGGGGCACGAAGAGTACTGGACCTGATCTGGATGCAGACTATTTAGCCTCCATCATAAGATTTCTCTTTTAAAAGACATGGCTGAATCCAAAGGTCTGTTCTAGTAGCTTTATACACCCAACGGGGTTTTGACTTTGCTTTCTCAAGCAGAAAGCCCTCCATGCTGCATGAGAAGCCTCTTTTGAACTCAATGGGAGCTTCATAAGCTGTTTATGATGTGGCATGGGAAGCTGCAGTTCAGAGGAACAATAAATTTCACAGGATGGACCTAAAGAAAATTTCTGAATCCCAGACAATAAATTACCCTTAAACTGGCAATCTCTGAATGTTGGATTATTATACAAAATGAGTTGCTTTAGCATAGTACATAAAACCACGGCTCTCATTTAACAGATAATATAGAGTTGAAAAAAGAAATTTTTATCCATCACTGTATTTTCTTCACTGGAATTTGGAATTTCTATTTTCTTAGAAAAAAAATCTAACATTATTCCTGTTGTGGCAAGTGATAATTGTAATTGGAAGTAGTTCTGATGGTCCTCTTTTGGCTGTTTTCATAGGTGCAGATATAGCGAATGTATGTAATGAAGCGGCTTTGATTGCTGCAAGACATCTTTCAGATTCCATTAACCAAAAGCACTTTGAGCAAGCAATTGAGCGAGTGATAGGAGGTAAGAGAATAACTCCCTAAGATTATTTTACAGGCAATGTTGGCAATAAGTTCTTTAATGTTACTTGTTTCTAAATAATTTTGTTGTTCTGTAGTGAACTGAGAATTTGAAAAGTTGTCTTCTGTCTTGACTTTCAATCCATTGATCAAGAGATGGTAGAGAGAAGAATGGAATCATAGAATCATAGAATGTTAGAGTTGGAAGGGGCCTTGCCGGTCATCTAGTCCAACCCCCTGCACTCTGCAGGAGCATAGCCAAAAGATAGCCCTACATACCTACAACATACCCGGAAGATGGTCGTCCAGCCTCCGCTTGAAAACGTCCAGCGAAGGAGCATCCACCACCTCCCGAGGCAGACTGTTCCACTGCTTCAACCACTCTTACAGTTAGGAAGTTTCTCCTGATATTTAGCCAGTAACAACTCCCTTGTAATTTCCACCCATTAGACCTAGTCTTGCAATCTGGAGCAAGAGAGAATAGATCCACTCCATCTTCTACATGACAGCCCTTCAAATACTTGAAGATTGCAATCATGTCCCCTCTAAGCCTTCTCTTTCCCAGGCTAAACATACCCAACCCTTTCAGCCTTTCCTCATAAGACTTGGATTCCAACCCTCTCACCATCCTGGTCGCCCTCTTCTGGACATGCTCGAGCTTGTCAACATCCTTCCTAAAATGTGCCCAAAATTGGACACAGTACTCCAGTACACAGGGGCCCTGTCTCATTAATATTGCCCCCCCCCCTTTTTGGACCGTATAATGCATGAGGATTAGCATCCTAAAGGGAAGAGAAAACAAAAATGTCTGTCTCATTGACTTGGCAGCTATAGAATGTGCACACAAGTAGTTAAGTGGTTTGTGTGTGTAATATAACTTTTTTTTAATCAAAAGGCTTGGAAAAGAAAACCCAAGTACTGCAACCAGAGGAGAAAAAGACAGTAGCATATCATGAAGCTGGACATGCAGTTGCTGGATGGTTTCTGGAACATGCTGATCCACTTCTGAAGGTAGGTTGCCACAAGACAATCATCATCAAGAGCCTCTCGTGTCAGAGGACAGGTCCTCCCAGTGGAACATTTCATGGTTAGCTGCGCAGAGTGTACGATATAGCCCAACTAGTCCCTTTAGCTACGTTATCTACTGCTAAATAACATCTTAGTGGAAGAGGGTCAGTGGGTCACTATTGGTCTGTTGGTAACTAAAAGAAATTTTCATTTACAAATCAAAATAGCAGTCCATCAGACACTGTGTGTAGATAGGCAGAAATATGCAGTAGATCTTTTGACTGTTACATCAGGGGTTGTGTTGGAATAAAGTCTGAATCGCGAGACAATGCACATGTGCAAGCATGCACACACAGTCTGCGTAATAGTAGCATTCCACTGGTGGGTTTTCTTGCTTGGGGTTAGTGAAGAGTTTGATTACATTGCTGATTTAGCATATGCACATAGTGGTGTGAGCCAGCATTCCCACAAAGGTGTGCACACAGCTACATTCATATTGGTATTTGAGTGCCAAGTATATGTGGAATGTATGATGATCTCTCAACCATTGCAGCTGTGTCACTAGAAGGCCTGTGTCAGGAGAGTCCCTGAACTCAAAGCAATCTGGTACTTCTACACTCACCGTGCTAACCAGAATAGCATGGCATTTGAGAAGAACAACACAATGGCTTCTCCCATTTCACTGCTCCTCCCTGAGTCACAGTTCCCCAGAGTAGCAGTTGAGGAAGGAGACGATGGCATTGGTAGTACAGCTTCTTTGCCAGCTGTAGCCATTTTGAACCTGAGGAAAGAGCCCTGTGACTTTTTTCAGGTATCTCGGGAAAACAAGATTGGAGTATTAATCTAATTTCACAGCAGCGATATTCTGCTTTAATTGCCCCCCTCCCTTTATACCAGTGTACCAAGACATTGACCTTTTTGAAGAGATCTCTTGCTTTTATCCACAGTACTCTTGATGTACTTCAATGTGTATATCTCATGATAGCTAACATTAACCACAACTGCTTTTTCTTATTTGCATGCATCCCCGCAGGCATAATCACAATGTGAACCTCAGATCTATCTTACGTTACGATGCCTTTTTTTGTTTCCTCTCTGGCACAAGGTATCTATTATTCCGCGTGGCAAAGGATTGGGGTATGCTCAGTACTTGCCTAGAGAGCAGTATCTGTACACCAAGGAACAGCTGCTTGACAGAATGTGCATGACTTTGGGAGGGCGTGTGTCAGAACAAATCTTCTTTGGCAGAATTACAACAGGTGCCCAAGATGATCTAAGGAAAGTTACTCAGAGTGCATATGCTCAGGTTTGTATTTATTCTGTCTCTCTTTTGCTTTCCATTGGTGTAGGTTTATGGTCATACATTGTACACTTGAGGCATCTTGACCTTGTTTGGACTTTGGTGTACACCTTATTAAATCAGTTATAAATCGATTAACAAATTATTTTAAAATACAAATGGAAGGTTTGGGGTGGAGGTTTGCTTTCTTGGAATGTTGCTAAAAACAGTATGCAGAATTCATACTTTATAGCACTTTAAGTATACGGAGTGTTTAAAGAACAGAGTATAACTCAATGAAGCATGAAGATTAATGCACATGTTTTAAAGGGTAAGCGTGAACCTTGACTTGAAGAGGTGTGTAGAGAAAGAATCCTAATGATTCCCGGGAGCTTCTTACAAGTTCACATTAAACATGGGAATGTACAATATGGTCAGTAGTGACTGCTATAAATAAATAATTAAAGCTGGAATAAGAGCTCTGCAGGATGTCATTCATAGCTCGGGCTTTTGCTTTTCTTTTTTCTTTACAAAATTGCACTAATGTATCTACTATACTATTGAACCCTCAGATTGTTCAGTTTGGCATGAATGAAAAAGTTGGCCAGATCTCATTTGACCTTCCTCGGCAAGGAGACATGGTGTTAGAGAAACCATACAGTGAGGCAACAGCAAGATTAATAGATGAAGAAGTGCGAAAGCTTATTAACACAGCTTATGAGCAGACATTGTCCCTTCTGACTGAAAAGAAGAAAGAGGTGGAAAAGGTATGTGCAAGCACTTTGCTTATATGAATTGATAATATTGTTGCTTTTAACAGCTGGTGGATATTTAACAAGACTTCCGTTATCAGATCTATGCAGAAGTAATGGTCATAATTCAAGCACAACTCTGATGGCCCCGTTTTTCTCTGCGAGAGCAAATGTTTTCCACCTGCTTCAGTGGGGAAAGCTTGCATGTAGTGGAGATGAATGTGTGGTGCTTCCTCCAACACTGTATAGATTTGAATCTTGGAGATTGCAAATAAGATCACTAGGTATAATGCACGTCCCATATAATCTCCATGGGCAGATTTGTAGTAATTGATTTCATACTAGTTGGTACTTAGAACTTGTGACAGTAGCTGCTGGGTAGTCTCTTACTCTTGGTTCTGTTCTCTTACCACACACTGGTGAAATGTCAAAGGCTAGATGACTCTTCTGTCTGTTATGCAAGAAAGCCAAATAATTAGGGGCATAACTGTGTGTGATATGGCTTGTTCTAGGTTGCTTTACGACTCTTGGAGAAGGAGGTTTTGGATAAGAGTGATATGATTGAACTGCTTGGCCCAAGACCATTTGCTGAAAAATCCACTTACGAAGAATTTGTTGAAGGCACAGGAAGCTTAGATGAAGACACTTCACTTCCAGAAGGCCTTAAAGACTGGAACAAAGATCGTGAGAAAGAGAAGGCGGAGACAACAGATGAACAGATAGCCAGACAAATCACAGGAGACATGCCATTTTAATGCTGAAATACAGCATTGTATGAACTGGTATAGTATTTTTAGTGCACACTGAAATGGAACATGACACACTTTGCAGAGACAGGCCTCCTGCTTATGGAAATCAGCAAACTACCAGTGGTGGAATGAAGAAGGGTCTTTTTTTTTTTTTTTAAAAGCTAAGGAGTATTCCAATTTCATTGGAAACCCTGTCCTGGAAATTATTCACAGAAAGAGGAGACCTTGCAGCTAATGGGTATATGCTGTGAACCCCCTTCCAGATGTATATCCAGTTCCATATCCACATTGTGTAATACTTGCCCATCAATGGGAATATGTAAGCTGACGTGGAGGAAGAGTCAGTCAAGGAAATTGGAAAAGTCCGCAAGAGTTAAGCCTCTCAGTCAAGTACAAGTTGTTAGCATGCAAGCTGTGCATCGCTTGACACTTTCATCAGAAGGGCCAGGTAATTTATGAAAGTGCTTTCTGTTCTACAGAAACATCCAGTTTCCATTCACTAGCTATTTAATTTTATCCTTTCACCTTGCTGTTTGTAAAGTTTTAAGCCAATAAATTTAAAGTATATTGGCAGTGAAACTGGAAACCTACTAAAGAGCTTTTCTGTCATTTATGGCTTTGTGGCTATGATAAAGTGTAAAACTTAAATTATATTGCAGTTTTAATAAAGGTGTTTTCTACAGGGATCTGTAAGATACTAAACACATGAATATACTGAGTTTTTGTAAATACAGTCTGGAAACAATAAAATCAGAACATTAGACTTTGAACAGACATTCTCGTGTATCTTTAAAAATTGTCTAAAGGAGTTATGAGTAAATATTACTATAGCTATTTCATTTTTTTGCATACACTTTTCAGGAGTGGTTGGTATACATCTGGCGACAAGCTGCTGGTGTTAGTGATAGGCTTTTATTTTGCATACGGGATAGCTGCATGTGCCTTTGGAAGGGTTCCAAGGCTTGGCATCGCTTTTCCACTATTTCCGTATGCTGAAAAATCGGGATTTGAGGAGTACCTGATGTTACCAAAGGAAAATCAGGAAATGATAGTAGGTTTACATTAAAGATGCAGGAACTGTCCTAGTACCTGTAAATGGTAAATGATCATACTGAATAAGCTAGAGGCTTGAATTGGGTTAACTGAGTCAGCAGTTTTAAGTTTTTGGAAGCATCAGCACCCAATTTAAACCAATAACTTTCAAATAAGAGAACCTGCTGTTAGGAACTTTTATTTATACAAAAAAATTTGTCACAGGAGGAACAAGTCATTATTTTCAGTCTATTGTCTCTGTCCTGTGAATGATGTAACACCTGCAGGACAGTGCTTTCCCACCTCCCTTCCCACTGCTTTTGGGGGGCAAGGACCCTCAGCAACAGCATGGTGGTTGTAGTGAAAGGTGGGATCTGGCAAAAATCATAACCACCCTCCGTTGCCAATAAGAGTGTTATTCCACTAGTGTGCTGTTAGAGCAGTGGAATGGCACCTTTGGGTCCAGGCTAGATTTTTCATATACTTTCTTTAAAATCCAGAAGAACAGGAAAGAACATTTCATGTACAGGCAATAGTCATCTGGTTAGTTGTAATTATGTAACACAGTTAATGAGAAAAACAGGTATTTAATTAAACCTTCAAGACTGCAGCCCTAGAATCATTCCTCTGCATGTTTCATCTAGAAATAAGTTATGTTGTGCTTACTGGACTTTAATTTTGATTAAACCTGCATAGGATTCTGCTGAAAAGCAGCCGGCATTACAAGTGGTATCTCTAGATCCATTCTGTGTTGTAAAGTAAAAATAACTTCAAATAGGAGTTCTGGCTCGATTCTTTGTCAGCTGCTTGCCCACTGCAGTGCTGGGGCCTGAAGGTAAGGGAAACTGGATGAAACTGAAGATGTGCAAGGTAGGCTATGAAACAAAACTCGTTAGTCAAATGCATTTCACTTTCTCAATGTGCACACATCTTTGCTATTATTAACCCTCTGTAAGTGATGGGTGAGTCTCTTCCTTTCCTAGTGGCAGTAGTAAAGAGATCGGTCCAATATCAACAGTCTGATATTCCAAATGGGAGAGTGAACGTCGGATGCTTTTCCTGCAAAGGAAGATTATCTCTGGTGCTATCTTTGTCTTCTGAGGCCCTCATAGTTAATCAGAACATAGAACGTGTCTTTAAAAAACTGCATAAACATTGTGAAATAGAAGGTATTCTACTACTGATGATAGACTCAGTTGGCTCACTGTACACAGTAGTCACAAGAGCAAAAGGCATGCCACCAGGCAATGGAATGAGAAATTGTCTCATCAAAGCTGACAATTTACTGAGCGTTTCCATTGTGACACTTGTTTCAACACACAGTAAACAGAGAAAATCCAGTTCCAAAATAGGTGGCTATTGAAATATGCTTTACAAGGTTATGTTAAGAACGTTGCTATTTTTTAAGAAGCTGTTGGGGATAAAGTAACATCCGCTTCAGAAACTTGAAACAGTACCATTTAGGTGTGCCCAAGAATGGTTTGTCTCATTTACACACTGCAGCTTTCAGTGTGTGGTCACTTCTTTTTGCTGCCTGTGTATAGCAAGATAACTAAATCTATTTAACTTGCCAGACCTTGTAATTTCTCCAGCCTGAGCACACCTTTCATAACTTCCTTGGCAAGCTGCTGCATGTTCATAGGAGAAGCATTCAGTTTAGGACTCTGTTGAACAAGGTCAGATGACAGCTAGAAGGGCTGTATGG